GAAGGCGCAATCTAGCGAATGATTTGAATCCGTACCAACGGCAGATGCACTTGAGCTTGGTTACATCGATCTCATTGACCGCGTTTACCATGACGAATCAGAACGCCACCATCCCTTGATCAGAGACACGCAATTGATCGAATGCCGCTGACATTGGATTGGCACCCTTGCTAGTGTGTCCAAGGAAGTCCTCTCGGGCCTTGTGAATGGAGACTTGGCTGAACGTCACATGGATGGCGATCACGCTTTCTCGAGACTGTATAGCGCACCAGGCCCCGTGGAAGACGCTGGACAAGTCGTGACCTCGGAACAGAAAGTGCCTTGTCTGTAAGCGTGCGCTTTGCTTGACAACCATGGCAATCCGCCCACCCCCGAACAAGAATTGAGAATCGTATCGATCATGCGCCGCTACATCGGCGACCACCCTGGAAATCTTGATCTGACGATGCAAATTGATCAAGAAATCGATAGCAAGAGCACCCCCACATTGAGAGAATCGACCGAGCAGGGACACCGAGCCTACCTCATGATGGATCTGCCGGGACTCGAAGCAAGGAAGTGGCAGATCAGGCGCTTCTGCAAGGTTGTTAAACAGCTTTGCACGCCACCAAGGCACTCAACACTCGCACACATGCCATGGCTCCACATTCGATGTTCCTCGGGACCAATTGATCGAACCGCCCACTACGATGGAGACCAATCTGGATATCTAGGTAAACTGGTCACCCGCATCGCTGGATTGGAATACTCTGGATGGTTCCACAACAAGATGTTCATCCTCGCTCGCCTAGCCTCCGAAGAAGAAAAGTGGACGAGTCACGAACGCATGGAAGGGCTGTGTCGACGCATGGCACACAGAAGTATACAGATCGGGCCGAGTAGTGCTCAGGGATAACGGATGACCGGCCCAGTTCGTGAATCCTCGATACTATCTCGGTCACGTGCGCAAGCGCACAGCGCGTAACAGTACGCGTCCGAAGAACGCTCAGGCTAAACCCCTTAAACCTGGCCGAAGGTTAATCTAATATATTATTAATCAAACTTTAGCCCCCTAGTAGTGTGTAGTTCTCTTCTTTATTAAATACAACTCCAGTATACCTGTGCGATAGCTCCCTGAGCGTAGCCCTTACATCACCCGGCAGTCTTTTATTCGTTTTTATAGCTTTGCATCCACCGGATAGTTAACACGAATAGACTAACAAGTTTAGTAATCTAGGTGCAAAAAGCAAGCTGCACCCCTCTTTTCTTATATTCCTTTTGTCTGTTCTCTCCACATGCACTCGATCGGCGAGGGCCGACCTATACATTGTGCATATGCATATGTGCTAAGAGGGGTAAACGATGTGTACACGGGCCGATATGTAGGGTTCCCACGTATCCAACCAGAAGTCTCCTTAGCATTTGCAGCGATTGTTCAGCTAGTAATTTTACGGAGTTCTTCTCGAAGCTTTTCAGCTAAATAAAAGGTTACTTGAAGGTAGTGTGCATTATATAAGTGTATACAACTTCACTTTCATCGATTCATACTCTGTAATTACTCTTCTTTTTTGTAACGAATAAATAGCACTACATTACACTTAGTGCATATAAAATAATGCACTTCTTTTTCTCCTTGATGCACAAGCTAAGGATTCTGCAATCCTACACATGTTCGACAGATACGAAGCGTGCGATAGTGTGCTGCACAAGCAGTGCAGGCATGTATCTATCTACATGCAGAGTGCAGTTCAGTGACAGTTAATTCTTTCACGAATACTACAGCCCCAATTTCTTCAGCGCTAGTTCTATGTAGCTCGCGCAGCTTATGTGTTGCAGTGCAGCACGCCTTTTGTGCCTTTAAGCAGCATACGCATTTTTCACCGCTGCTGTTATGTAACACAAGAATTTCTCACCGCTGCTGTTGTGTAACACAACTTTACTTCCATAATCTAGTCTAGATCATCTCTAACATGTGCTTCGCAGCACGAGAAAAAGCAATGCAATTCCAATCATGGTGCTGCTCCGAAGAGAGGAGCCCATTTGCAGTTTTCTCACAGACGATTTCCAAAAAGGAACTAGGCAATAGATAGGTGCATATCGAAGTATATTCGTAAGATCTTCGGAATTTCAGGTTTACTCAAAGAACAAGAACGAAGTATAAAGCATCGGGCGTTTCCCATCGAGTGTCAGTCACCAATCTACACTCAATCATCTCTGCCTTCAAACACGATTCTCCAAGCATTTGAGAACTTCTTCGATACTTTGGATACTACGCCAGTCGGAATGACGAACAAAACCCGCGACTATGGTGACTTGAGAGTCACGCTTACCAAGGACCTCGTATGGAAGTGGAATGAGAAGGGTACAGGTGCTGCCCGGTATGGAGAGTTCTATCTTGCGAACTCTCAAGGTGCAATGCGTCCTGTGGGATCTTTTGGTCAAGACAAGTGGGATGACCAGAAAGATAAGAGAGCTACGCTCTTAGTTGGAAACGTTCCTGGGAGTTCTGGGAAGCCAGCTGTTGCAAGCCCTACTAGTTACGACTGGGTGTGGGACGACCGGGGCGGCGGCGGCAACTATGATGGCACAGTCTGGCGACCTGTTGCGCCTTCTGGGTATGTCTCGCTGGGGGACGTCTGGACAAGCAGCTACGAACGTCCATCAACCAATCCGATATGGTGTGTTCGATCGGACTTGACTATGCAATCGAACTACAACCCGAACAGCCTCTGGGACGACAAAAAATCCGCAGGTAATCACGACTGTTCAGTGTGGTCGATTATCCCACCCCAGGTTAGCATAGGCGGATCCGAGAAGATTACAGTCCTTTCCGATTGCCACAGGGCTATCAAAGCATATCAACAGCCTTCCTCGGACCTTGCCAGGGTTCTGGTACTTCCTTGTCCAAAGGATTTCAAATCTTTCAATGCAAGACCGCCAACATTCACCAAGGACACAATCCCTCGCGAAGGAGACCTGTTCAGTCAACTGCAACAGTGTGAGGTTGAATTACCTTTCACGGCCTTTTTTCCACCAACACATGTCACGAGCTTGGGCATGATATCCGATCCGTTTTGCAAGCTTGGGAGACGTACTGCATGGTTGGTTGAAAAACGACACTCCAATAACGGTGGAGGTACTATCATTGACGAGAAGACAATCAAGAAAGGTATCTCTACGACGCAGTCACAAGAGATGGTACACTCAGCTGGTGTAGAGATCACGTCGTTCTTTGGTATCAAGGCTTTGGGTGGAGGCATAGACGTCAGTCTCAACTATTAGTTCACCTCGACACAATCCTCTTCGTATAACGAATACGAAGAGTTCACCGACAGACGACAATACAACGTTCCGCCCTACACCTGTTCAATATTCCTTACTGAACGTGTTTGGCTCGTAGCTACTCGCACTGACGGCTCTTTCACTCTATCGGAGATCTAATACAACACTACCGACGGTATGAACATTGAGGAAGTTAAGCTGAACTGAATCAAGTCCGCAGCTGTTATGGCTTAGTTGTATCTGTCGTTCATTATCATGTACTAGTCCTATTGTTCACTCGTTTAGAATGTACGCGTCCTGTTTCGGTCGCTTACTATCATGTATTAGCTATCCAATTCACTCACTCAAAATATACACATCCTACTTTTGTTTTAAATTCTAGAGAACTGCAATAATACTCAAGTATCGCTAGTAAAAGAACTCTTAGTAGTTAGGACTAAGAAATGTTTAACACGTCTTAAAAATAACGTAAGTGTTGCATCGCAAAAGGACAGTTTTTTCTTTTTCTCCCTATTTGCTGAACTTTCAGTGTTGCTACATCCTTAATAACTCCCTAGGATATAATGAAGGACCTGTGTTAGTTATGGTTTCGAAGCACTTGCCGCCCATCTACCCTTGACAAACCTCGTTCCTATTATCCTGTACGCAGACTGTTTCGCTAGTCTTTCCGAAAGCTCTAACCTGCTTCTTGATTTGTCGGATCATCCCGTAATTCGGACAGATCTATTCTAGGGATGACCCGGTCCCTGGCTTCCTCTGGCTGGATAAGGAGAAGCTGTTTCAATTGAGATTAACACAGCTCCACTGGGTCGTGATTGGACCATCGCAATGCCTGCATGTCCAGCTACAGACTTTTGTATGATAGCCGCTGGCCGTTATCTAACCAATGGACGTAGCCAAGGGACGTGATCTGATCCCATTTCTTTCGGCCAAAAGTGCGAAGTTCCAAGGCCCAGTACATAGGTGAACGGCTGGAGAATACCAAGAATCGACCCTGCATTTCATCTAGAAGTTCTGCAGGAAATTCCACCTCACCCGATTCTGCGACAACTGCGCGTTGCATGACGAGGCGTTATGCTATCTTAATGAAGGCTGACAAATGGTGGGTGAAGACTTTTGGTTCACGGAAACCTTTGCGCTCTTTATCGATGCCCATGACAGCAAAAAAAACCGACGACCACTGTGATGGGCTAGAGCCCGACTCAACCCGCGTTGACTGGCGCGCCGTCGTCATCCTCATCCAAGCTTCACACAATAAACTCGGGGTACCACAAGCACGGAGCAATCCAGCTACCCTCCGATATCTTCGCGTGGGACAGGTCAAGACATGACTACTCGGCGCCGCGAAGGGATCGGGGGTTGTGGCGCAGTCGTGGCGCAGTCGTGGCGGTGAACGTTGGGCGGTTCAGCCTAATGGAAACGACACGAGGCACCTCCTCGTCCACTTCAACGACAGCCTTTGATCATGCTTCCGATCATCCATGTTAGGGTCTTGATTCTGGAACAGGCCACGAGATGTTCACCTCACCGCCCAATGTGGAGTTGCCTCAGGCAGACTCAGAATCTCGTGTCGTCGTGATGGCTTTCGGTCCTGTTGGCACCGCGTCGTTTGCTGCGCCTACTTCACAGTTCTGCCTGGGGAAGACTAAGGTATAAAGATGTCTTGCATCTCCAGTCAGATCGAAGATCGTCATAGTCGTTTGATCACGCCTCCTTTTTATCATTCAAACACGGAGACAATGTCACTTCGCATCACTCCCATCGCTGATGCCGTCGCTTCCGCTTGGTCGCAGGGCGTTGCGAGTCAGACAGCCAACCTAAACGTCGTTCCCGATGACATTCACCACCTCATTCTCTCCGATATTGTGGACACATCACCCGCAGACCTACTGAATGTGGCACAATCTTCCGAAGTCTTGCACGATGCGGCATTGCCTTACATATATCGCAACATCATCCTGAATGGAGAGTCAACGGCATACCAGGCACTCGTGGAGAAGCTCTCCAAGAATGAGCACGGTGACCTTACGAAGCATATCCGCAGTATCACCGTCAAAGACGAGGTACCCTCTGCAGACCTGATTACGATACTCAACAAGACTATACAGCACAGGAATCTTCGATCACTCAAGTATGTTCCTTCAACCGGTTCAAGATACTCATACTGACTCTCGTAGTTGGGAGACCTCCACGCACATACCTCCGGCAGTATACGACATGATCCACGCGATGTGGCCGAAGCCTGAGATACGCGTTATTGTCGTCGACCGGAAGACGGCAAAGAGTGTTGCACATCGTCAGATGGACATGAAGCTCCTGTCATCTCCGCTTCTTGTTAGCTTGACCTACGAGGTATACATGCAGGGCTTTGCCCCCGAGCACCCTTGCCGATCCGAGTGGCCCCGACTCTCTCAGGCACTGGCGACTGGCGGGAACGTTAGATCTCTTCGGCTCCAAGTTTTGCAAGACGGCCACAACCTTTTCACACCCGATACGGAGCCGGCGAAGATACCGCGTCTCGATCTCACCGCCGGTATGCGCCTACCTCTTCTCGAGGAGATGACTCTTCAGACTTTGAGATATCATGGCCAGACGGCGTATCTCTGGGATCCCGACTACTGTCGCATGTTTCGCGATGCTATCGACTGTTCCCGACTGCGTAAGCTTGACTTCGGCGGCGAACATCCCGAAAACTTCTTTACTTGCTTCACGGGACTTTGCCCCAAGCTCAAAGTGCTGAGTTTTGGGATGTGGGAGGGTGATAAAACGCCTGCGAAGCGGTTCATTGAGTCCATTGATGCACTTGAACATCTCGATCTGTCACGAGCGCAAGCGGGTATAGACGATCTTTGGCCCGCTATCGAGCAGCACAAGGATACACTCGAGACACTGATCCTTGGGCCGACATTCGAATCTTATTGCCAAAAGGTCGTCATGCCCTTCAGCCGTTTGAAGGACATCGCGCGGACATTCCCTAGGCTCAAGCATCTAGGCTGGGACGCACCCTGCGAACGCAACGTAAGCCACGCTCACCCGGACCAAATCATAGTTGCGCTGACCGTACCGTTAGATCGATCCGCAACATCTCGTCACCCTATTAGGGATGAATCTTACGAAGCTTGATCTCTGGCTGCACATTCCCCACGAAGCAAACGACTACAGCGAAAAGCTCGTACAGGATATCTGGGGCAACATCCCTCACCCCGAACTGAACAAAGAGAGTACTGTCGCATCTGCGACCGGTATCGCAGATCGTCTTTTGGGGTCCGGGCAAGGCGCGTTCAGGTGCCTCACTCTCCATCTTTCGCGAGAGGGGGCTTCGGATCGCTGCCAGCCGTATATGATGTACTCGAAGCTGCAACTCAGATTGAATGGGCCCTCCAAAAGGACGCGTGCGGACAAGTGGAATGTGCGCGGTAAGCTGGACTGGTCTTATGAACCCACTTTGGTGGAAGATCTGCTGTTCGAGGAGAGATAGGGGAACGACGGCCAGGATGAGGTACAAGATGGTTTCCTTCTTTGTATTTGAACCTCCATGCATTCCCTTTCCTTTCCTGTCTTATGCCCATTCGTTGTATTTGGCGATGCTAGTCATGGTTGGCTCTCTGTTATCCACCCCATCTACTGGTACTGCGAGGAGATACTCTACGAAAGAGAGAAGTATCGCACCTCCAAGAACCTCGCATCCCCAAGAACTTCTGGTACTGCGAAGACGCAGAGTAAGCAATGAGCCACTCACAACTCGCGCAATATACCACCATCCTATTCGAAATCGTAATCCTCAAATAAGAGGGATTGCAATCATGAGACTCATGGTTGGCTCGTCTTATTTATGGGGTGTATGCGAACCACGGAACAGCCATAGGTGTCGCATGTTTGGTAGCGAACGTTACATTTATCCATCTACTCGAAAAGCTTTGCACCCAAAATATTCGTCGTTTGCATCTATTATCTCTCCTCATAACACTCACTACGATGGACGAACATGAGCTGGAACAACAGAGCGATGAACAAGAGGTGCTAGTCGCCGACCAGACGCCCACTAAAGAGCAGCGTAAAGCCGCACGACGCTTCGAGAAATTTGAGAGAAGAGCGATAAGAAACCGCATAGCCCATCTCGACCAACTGCTCGCACGCGCAAGAGAGAACGCATACAAGGCTCATTACCGCGCGGCTGATCTGAGCGCAAAAGTCGAGGAAGAACGACCAGCCCTCATCGAGGCCTTGCTTCCATACGAAAGGCGCAAGGCGGCAAGATCGAAGCAAAGAGCCAGAAAGCACCACGCACATTTCCTCGACCGTTTCTTCCGACTTCCCAGAGAGATCCGCGACTTAATATACCACCACGCCTGGAGCGGCACGATGATATCTTTCTACCAAGAGCTAACCTGGAACTTTGCCGAACACGATACTATCCCCTGGGGCCCAGTTATGACAGCTGAGTATTCATCGGAAGGTACATACAGGGCTGGTCTCATGTCGCCAGGGGATCTTGTAGCACCAGAGAACGGAGGCCCCTGCAAGGGACTCAGACACGCGCAAGAGTACGCGTGGATATGGACGAGCCAGCAGATCTACGCAGAGTCTACGGCGCAGTTTTATCGGTATACGCAGTTCACACGACCAGTGCGGGCTGAGAGACACTACTATCACATGTGCGCGCATATCGTTCCGAGACGCAAATTGTACGAGTCAGCATACGCCTTCCCTAATATCCTCCTCGCACGCCGCGTATTGCTTGATGTAGGATACGAAATATCCCTTGACGTCGTCAACCACGGTATATCGGCCTCGATTCTGGAACTGCTGGCTATGGCGAAAAAAGGGGAGGAGAAAAAGGCGCTGCAAGTGAGTTGGATAAGAAATATGGCGGACACGAAACCTTTTCAGCTTAAGGATTTGGTTCCGGCTAGTACGCCTCACTCGATGGCTAGTAGAGCGTTTGAGGAGCTGGTGTTGAGGGATTTGGAGAGGGTGGGCTGGGAGATTGTGGTTGGTGAAGAGGGGACGTAAGTTAACGGTACGGGGGAAAGGTGGAGCGGAACAGGGCATTTAGTGTTTGCGCAACATCAACAAGCCACAGAAGCAGATGCTTTCACGAAGGGGATATATCGCAGGTATGAGATACCGATCATTGTTAACGCCTATGCAGTGGGTATTGTTTCCCGCTTTGTGTGGGCGCAATCGACGGAGATTGCTAGGGGGGCAATGCGCTGTAGGCAGACGCATCCTTCGCTTGAAGTCGATGGTGACGGCGAAGACGCAGCAAAGGACGCGATAGTCGTAACGCACGTGGTTATGTTCACGAGCTGGGATGAACGCAATATTAGTAGTAGTAGTCTGTATGTAAGAGTGTTGTTGCCAGGGCGCCCACTGTGATAGCTATATGTAGTATGACATTTCGACCTTATATTAGCCACTTCCCTTTCCTACTGACCTACGAAACCACGGAACTTTCTTCTCGGCTGAAGTCCTGGCGCGCATCGTTATTGATGATCCAGGAACAACCATGCTGTCCCACAACCCCTGCAGGATGATGACGTCGTCGCCTCTGACAAGGTCGTACTGTCCGCTGATCTTTAGCCTGAGGACCTCTGCTGATCCAGCACAGATCTCCTGGAGGAATTCTTCCATCCCCTGCATCAATTAGTCCAAGTACCTCTACGAAGCTTGGGATATTGCTTACCTTCCACGTGCTACACAAACGCCAGGGGCCTTCGAACTTACGACCGACGGGATCATGGAAGATAATGGGCGCACTCGTCTTTGGTGCACGTATCTTTGCTTTCTCTAATTTTTCCGCCGCTTTTTTCGCTTCCTGTAGGGCTCTCGCATGAGCGGCTTCTATAGACTTCCGCTCCTCTGCTGCCTTCTCTTCAGCCAAATTTCTTGTCCTTTGTGCAGCGTCTAACATGAGCTTTGCTTTCTCACTCGCTGCTTTCTTCTCCTCAGCTATCCTTGCATCTTTCATATCGGCTGCTTGTCGCTCTGCATAGCGTGCCGCATCCGCAGCAGCTTCCCTCTTGAGCTGCTCATCTTTCTGAATTAAAATCAATCTTTCAAGATTCGCCAGTCTGTCAACTTCATAGCTGCGACTACGCGGATTGCGTTCCTGTTGATTGCCATAACGCGCCGTCTCTTCGTCCTTATACCTAGAGGGTTTCTGCCGGCGAGCTCCCGCATTTATTGTCGAGCGGTCGGCCTTCCTCGCCGTTGATCGAGATTCACGCTTAGGGGGGGTTGACTCTTCAGGTGCAGCCCTGCGTTGTCGTGGTACATCGTCGCGTAGCGGACTTGGGGTTTCCCACTCGGAAGATGTTTTTGCATTTGCGCCGGTATCAGACGAGGACGACTCACATTCGCTTGCAGTATAGTGCATTATTCCTCGACGATGTAGAAGAGATCTCTCTCGACGTGGTGGAAGAGATCTTTCTCGATGTGGTGGAAGAGGTCTGTCTCGATCCGGTGGAGGAGAGCTATCTCGGCCTGGTGGAAGAGATCTCTCTATCATGGGCGGCGATCGGGTCGAGGGGGGCGAATTGCGGTACTCTTCTGTTGCTAGGCCAGGCTCTGGAGAACTGTAGAGCTCGGAATGGCTTACGGGGTCGACGGCGTCACTAACTGAGTCTGCGCGCTCGTGTACAGAAGAGCTTCCGGAGGCATTCCAGTTCCATGCTGCTTTTCGGGTAGGATAATCTAGCACATCCTTGGCTAACGCGCTAGACATCTGCTGCAGTTCTATTGCTTGTGTACAGTCGTGGAAGATCTGGAGGGCGAAGTCATTAGGCTCAAAGTCTGGGTTAGTGAGGAGTGTTGCGTCGTGTACTGCTAGGCTGCGCTCATCGGAAGGCCGCAACCTAGACACAATGAGCTCTCCCCCAGCACCTTGTGTCGCGTCCTCAAGTTCTGTCGCAGCGCTGGACTCCACAGTAGGCGTGAAAGATGGAACCTCGTCTTGCTGAATAGTCGTGTGATAGTGCAGACACCTCGTAGCGTCTTCCGCAAATTTGATGTTGCTCTCAACTTGCGTCTTTAGACTCTCGCTATAAGTACGTTAGCCATAATGCCATGTTTGCGATCTTTCGTAGTGTACCTTATAGACTCGGGGGCATTCCGCTCCAGCACAACGGCTAAGTTCATCGTGGAGACAAGGACGACGATAGTGGTTTTGAAAGAGTCGATCAGGCTCTTGACAAACATGACCTTAGGCCCGACTCTCATCCATCTGAAACGGAATCGTACCATCGATATGGTGAAAGCGCGTCTTGCAGGGTCGTGCTGAACCGGCTGTCCGATGAGCATCTTTAAATCCTCTATGAGTGTTTTGCATGCAGCGATCAAGACGACAGTAATTTCGCGAAGCTTTTCCGTCTTGATGTTTGGGGTGTCCACAATCATACTCAACTGTGTGAGATAGCTTGAGAGTCCGTTGATGTCTACAGCAATGATCCTAGCTTCGTACTCTGCGGATTTGATAACATTAGCGACGTCGAGGAGGGTTGTGGCTAGCTGCGCACTCGCGCCGGCTAGGGTGATGAGAGATGCTACCAGACCGATGACCTCTGCCATAACGAAAAGGCTCTTTGTCTTCCACCGAAATCAGCGTCGGTGTGAGCGGTAAACGATGTGAAGGTCGCGCCAGGCTGTGGGAATTGTGCGCAACATGTAACAGCTCTTCAGCCTAGACATAAAAGCCTCTTTTCGCGGTCCTGCTGCTTCGCCCCCAAGGCTGAGATATGTACGTTGACTCTATTGGGCGTGACAGGTCGCATGCAGCGCGCATGGAGGTGCCCCGCACCGGTAAGCATCTTCATGACAGAGTGTACTCAGCCGTGCTACACCACCTGCAGATCCTTAATCGAAGCGAGGCAGAAACCCAAGGCGGATTTTGTTATCGGTGACGGATGGGTCTGATGTGGAGGCGGAGTGGAGAGGCGGCCGAAATGTGGCGGCGTGCGGTGACGCGGAGCAGGCGAGCAACTCGCGACTTCCAAAATCCAGGTCACATCCATCCTATCGGGTCGTCTCGAAACGGAAGTGACATCAACAGCAGAACTTGCGACGAAGATGCACTGGGGTAAACACATGTAATGACCGATTGGCGCACCCTATCCACTCTCCACATCCGCAGCCTTCGTCTCAACCTTGATCTCGGGCCCCTCAATCTTCTTAACTTTCCTCCCCTCCCACCACGACATGATCCCCGCAAACATCGCAACCCCACACCCCAGCGCAATAAACGTGCCCGTCGCCCACGTCGGGCGGTCCAACCGATTATAATGCCACATAAAAAAGCACAGCACCGCCTGCAACAGCGTATTCAAAACCATCATATCAACGGTAAAAGCCAATTTCCACATCTTAGTCGGCGGCGCCCTCTCCCCCGTAAAAGTCTGCGGCATCAACTCCTCCTCGCCCCTCCACCCCTCGTTCTCCGTAAACCAGGCCGGCGGCCGGAACCAAGCTTTATTCTGGTTCCAGAGCCGGCGCATGGCGTTTGCGTCGTGAAAGTGGACGGCGCGCAGCATCCAGTAGAAGTCGCGGAAGCGCCAGGGTGCGAGGCCGAAGCCCGTGACGCAGAAGAGGGCGTTGAGGATCTGGCTGTCGATTTCGAGCCAGATTTTGCGGGACGAGTAGTCGTCGTTGCAGCTGGGGTGGCACATGGCGGGCGCGGCGTTGAGGAGAAGGAAGAAGAGCATTGCGCCCCAGGCCTGGGGTTCGTTAGTAAGCAGAGGGATTGATGGGGCGAGCGCGTACGTACGACGATGTTGAGTCCGTAGATGGTGATTAGGAAGCCGGAGGGGGTGAGGAAGAAGACCCAGAATGCCTTGAGACCGTGCTTGATGGTTGGACCCCATGGCTCCTTGTCCGCAGACGCGTGCTTCTCCTTCAACGTTCGTCGACGGTGGAGGCCATGACCATGAGGCCTGCGCGACTTCTTCCCAGTCTTCTCGTCCACTTCTCCCGGTACAATCGCGTCTGTGGTTTGCTGATCAAGGATCCTAGTCTGGGATTTGACCAAGGTGAGCTCTCCGTCTTCGTCTGGAACCGCTACGCGTGTGGCATGGCCATGCGCATCAAACGTGATGTTCGACCCTCCAGACTCTGGCTCTCGCAACTCAGTCAAGTTGGGCGCCTGAGCCATTGCCGTCGCAGTGGCCTGCCACATGCCCAGCTGCGGTGTCGTGTGCAGTAACGACAGCGACATGCCGCGCGCCCGCCCAATGATGCCCTTCTCTTGATCGTCGGCCATGGCTGGATGTGTATGCGCAGCCGTCGTCGTATGCGATGCAGATTCGGACTTCCAAGTCGAGGGTAATGATGGAGTGGCTGCTTTTGCTTCACATGTCACTGCACCTGCGCTCGGTGTCTCGCCGTTGAGCTACTCGGGAGTAGAGACGGTGACGCCTATGTATGCGGCCCTCGGTCCAACTGTGATAGGCGTAACAACACGGACGATCATGGCGCCGCAACGCAAAGTCCTGAGATTCCGGTCCAGACTATCGAGATAGACACGGCCGAGCACAATCTGTTCGTGCGAAAGTTCGTTGGGCGCGGATGATCGGCGGCGCGGCAAGGGCAACGCGCCGTGTTTGGCTCGCTTCGCCGCAGAAGATCCGCGGCCTGCAGATTGCGAGCCGATCAAGTAAGAGGTGTAAGCGTGCGCTAGAGGCAACCGGGAAAGACTGATTACTCGTACCAAGACCAACAGTTGAAGCATGTTGATGCCCGTCATTCGTCTAATCTTCCTATAATCCATCGGGAGCCCGATGTAGCTTCCGCGTGCAGCCGGTATCGCAATGCCTCTCAACTTCAGCTCCAGACAGAAGCGCGGCGAGTACCATGACGGGAAAGCGCAAAGTACCGGAAGAGTTAACACGTTCGGCCAGGTCGCCATACAATTCCACAGGAACACGACGCATCTGAAATACTGGTTCGACAAGCTTCAGAAAGATTCCGCGGCATGCCGACCACCGGGATGCGCAAAACCGCGGAGAGGCAGCACGACTTTGGTGGATGAGTTCATCAGCGACAAGACGAGCAGCATCAGCGCACCGCGACTGAACATCGCGATACATATCTGCGGGTCTCGCGGCGATGTGCAGCCTTTCATTCCGATCGCGAAGCTGTTACAAGCTGCGCCACATCACCACCGAGTGCGCATCTGCACGCATCCCGCCTTCAAGGACTTTGTGGAAAGCAATGGGGTGGAGTTCTTTTCCATCGGAGGCGACCCCGAAGCTCTCATGGCCTACATGGTGAAGAACCCAGGGCTCATTCCAAACATGCAGTCCATCAAAGCCGGGGACATTGGCAAGCGACGAAAAGAGATGGCCGAGATGATGGATGGGACCTGGAGAAGTTGCATTGAGGCGGGTGATGGCATGGGCGAGAGAGTCTCAGCGTTGGACGTAGACGCGCCTGAGGATTTGTTCATCGCAGATTGCATCATTGCTAACCCGCCGTCCATGGGCCACATCCACTGCGCGGAGAAGCTTGGCATTCCGCTGCACATGGTCTTCACTATGCCTTGGTCGCCAACAAAGGCTTTCCATCACCCGCTAGCGGCCATGGAGTATGGCGAAGTTGAGAGGTCCGTCGCAAACTACTTCAGCTTCGGCATCATGGAGTTGCTCACCTGGCAAGGTCTCGGAGATGTCATCAACAAGTTCAGGACGCAGACCTTGCACCTAGACGCTATTAGCCCGCTCTGGGGTCACCTCTTGCTTTCGAGACTTCGCGTCCCATATAGCTACCTATGGTCACAGGCTTTGATCCCGCGACCAAATGACTGGGACTCACACATCAGCATTACCGGTTTCTCGTTCCTAGATGCCGGGTCGAACTACACACCGCCGGACGACTTGGCTGAGTTTCTTGCGAAAGGTCCTCCTCCGGTATACATCGGCTTTGGCAGCATAGTGGTAGATGATCCAGTGGCTCTCACCAAACTCATCTTTGCCGCCGTGAAGCTAGCAAAAGTCAGGGCGATAGTCTCCAAGGGCTGGGGCGGCGTGGGTGCGGGTGATGTGCCGGATGATGTGTATCTCATCGGCAATTGTCCGCACGACTGGCTCTTCCAACGGGTTTCGTGTGTGGTCCATCACGGAGGTGCGGGTACGACGGCTGCTGGGATTGCCTTGGGAAGACCTACGGTTGTTGTGCCCTTCTTCGGTGATCAGCCCTTCTGGGGCCAGGTAAGCGTGCGCTCATACGTGATTGATTCGTTCTAACAATGCCGCAGATGATCGCAAAAGCTGGAGCTGGACCAATGCCCGTCCCATTCAAACAGATGACTGCCGAGAGCCTTGCGACAAGCATAACCTTTGCGCTCCAAGATTCGGTCAAGGTCGCTGTTCAAAAGATGGCCGAGAGTATTGCGGAGGAAGACGGCGCTGGCGATACTGTGCGCGACTTCCAGCAGAAACTTGGCATTGACGGAATGCGATGTCATATCTGTCCGGACCGCCTGGCTATATGGCGTGACAAAGAGACTGGAGCACATCTGAGTGGTTTCGCAGCCTCCGTGCTTGTCCAAGAAAGACTTTTGGATCTGAAGCATCTACGATTGCTGCAACATCGGCATTACTACACCCATGAAGGCGCTGAAGGACCTTTGACAGGTGTTGTCGCTGCTTTCGGAGGACTCATGGCTTCTTTAGGCACAGATACTGCTGAGTTCTCGCAGCGGCTAAAGAAAAGACCACGTGAGACAGACTCCGACGCAGAAGCCCTGAGAAGAGTGCCGACCGTCGATGAGCCTGACCTGGAAAAAGGCATTACGTCCAAACACTTCCATCACCTGGCGTACAGAATGGCAGCGAAGTCATGCGATGATGACTACACCCACAATTTCGAGAAGCCGCAGAACCGCCCGGGCATCTCAGCTCTTCGCGAGAAGATTGCTGCGAGGAGAGCAAGAGGAGGCCGTGGATATCAGATCACAAGCGCTACCGCGCATTATGTTGGTGATCTTGCGGCTACAGGAGCCAAAGCCCCAGTCGCCTTCTTCTACAACATCGCGAACGGCTTCCGGAACTTACCCTCATACGCAATCCACAACGACCCCGCGCGTCAAAGAGACGAAATCACCGGGTTTGGTAGCGGTTGCAAGCTCGCCGGCAAAGAATTCGTGCTCGGCCTCAGCGACGCACTTGTAGGCATCGTTCGACACCCCTATCTCGGCGCGAAACAAGAAGGCGCCATGGGCTTTGGCAAAGGAATTGGGCGAGGTCTCGCTGGGCTGTATCTCCATTTGGGAGCCGGTAAGTTCGGGTTCCGATTTTTCCGCTTATCCGCTTATCTAACACTGTCTGTCAGCGGTCTTTGGCCTGCCAGGATACTTCTTGAAAGGCGTCGAGAGGGGCCTCTTGGCTCGGCATCTCACTGCGCTGCAGGCGGAGATTTTCTTTATACAACTGCGCCGATCTGCTGTCGCGTTCCGCGGTGCGAGTGATGCGGAGAAGGCGGCGGTGGTGAAGAAATGGGCGGAAGTGAAATCAAGCATAGACAGGCATTAGCGAGGAGTTTTTCATAGAGCTGGTGGCCTTGTCTGCAAGGCACCCGAC